TATATATATATATATATATATATATATATATATATAAAGACTTAAAATTGTAATAACTGAAATATCTCACAATATACTTAAGACTATACGTATTGAGCTTAAAAGTCAGCCAAGAAAGACAAAAACCAACAATAAGATTGAATGCTGAGCAGAATAAATTTAAATTAGAACTTAATTTTAGTTCTTTTTCCTCTTTTTTTTTTCTTTTTTTTTTTTTGAGAAACATCGGAACTTACAGATTGCTGAATTTATAGATTGCTCTGCTAACACTGAAGCTATTGAATAATTTTATCAGCTAAAAAATTCAAAGCAACGAACTATTTGGGGGCATTTGCCATGAAATATCAACAGACAGCTGATAAGTATGGTTAGTGAAACGTGTTATGGCACGGGCAAATGGTTCAACACGAATGTCATACGCAAGATTAACAGTGGTGTTATGTGATAATGTTGTATCATTGTTAGAGATGTCGACATAGTCACAATTCACTGAAAATTTTCTTAAATAAATTACATCAATATCTATATACGTAATTATTCAACATCTGAAATTGGCAATGTCAACAGTACAATTGAAGATTAATATAGAACATTGTCCGCAATAGATTTAAAAAGAAAGTAAATCTGGCAAAAAAATATGTTTTTGTTCCTGGCAATCAAATTTCAAAATCAAATGAGATAATTAAAAGAAGTGTATCGATCTACTTGTTAATGTACGCCCAGCATGTAACGCGTACACGTCCGAATGTATCATTTTAACACTAATCAAGATGAGAGGAGCTAAACAAGCATGTAGTGATGCCAATAGAAAAATAACCAAATCTTCCTATGTAATATTAGAAGCATCTAGATAACATCAGTCACTTTTCCATCAATTATTTGAGGCCTGTGAGAAATCTCTAAAGCAACAGATGCGAAATAATCATCTAAATAAACATACCACGACGAACTGTGCATACGAAATCCTGCAAATATACTTTCTTAAAGATCAATTTAACCATTTTCAAAAGGATTCTAATTCTGCATGAATTACTCTAAGCTATCAGAACCACCGATATCTTTATATTGTAATTTAGTTTCAACTTAAATCTACTGAAAGTGAGTCAATTTGCAGTTCATTTTTCTCATTTAGGTCTAAACAAACATCGATTTACACTTTAATAATTTTAATTTAGTAACTCATGTGCAGAAGAAAATCAATTTTCACCTTCTTGTAGTGATCAATGCAGCTATCCTGAAAAGATGCACTAAAATCAATGGTAGCGAAAGCCATCTTAACCAATATTGTAACAACTGCCACTGCACAATAAGTCATTTTGGTTTGATCGAATCAGCCATACCCTTCAGCATAACTTCATCGATGACGATATAAGAATAATGACCCCACAAACAACAACAACGAGCAACAACAACACAAGTGGTATTACAGTTGGTGACAGCAGTAGTGGTGATATGAACGTTATGAATGTTAAAAAATAACGGGCCATTTTCCAAATTTTTTGTCGACCGAAGTGAAAAATGGATTCAGTTGTAGTTCTAAGTTCTCAACGTTACGTACTTTAGGGGTTTAGGGGTCAGTAGTATTCATACCATTAGGACCATGTCATAAGTTCGTAAAAAGACACCAAACTGTTCACATTATCTTAGTTCATTTTTGCAATGTAAGTCAAGTACTCTACAAAGTCCAGAAAAGTATACAGATAATCTGAAGAGTGCAAAAATACGTAAACGGTGCTAAATTAAAATGAGTTGATAAATATGACTGTAACAGTGAAAAGAAAAAGACAGAAGAAGTTTTAACTATAAATAGTAGCTGAACTTCATTTCGGCAATTTTAAACATCGAGGATGTTAGCTTTGGATAAGTGATGTCTGGGAACTTTTGATTACCTCGGCGAAGAAGGCATTTGTGCAATGACTTTATACAACATCGGGTAAGTAAAGTTAATAATGTGACTGGGAATGGAAAATAAGAAAAAATGCCAGAAATCAAGCTGTGGTGAAAGGCAACTGTTGCGCAGTTTGAGTGGACCTGAAATTAAGAATACAGAAGTACTAATTGCATGGACATCTGCAATTACTGTGATCAAAGTGTACAGAAATGAATTGGCGATTATTCGACGAGTCCACTTCGTAGAGATTGTCTTCTGAAACATGACCTTTCATTTTTCTGGTTGCGAAAAATGTGAAGTGCGGTATTACACTCGCAAATCTGAAAACAAACACTCATCGTGTATCATGTGGATATACAGGGTTTGCAATCAGTACTACTGTATTCTACGGAATGATATTTAGGTATATCAAGCAAAGAAGGTATATCTAGGTATATCAAGCTATTTAGGTATATCAAGCAAAGAAGGTATATTTAGGTATATCAAGCTAAAAACAAGCAAAGAAGAGAATAAATTGTTTTTCACGATTGAAGTATATGAATGAACAGCGCAGCAAATGATGAGCAAAAGCAAATGTGAACGTCTGAGCCTGAAGCTTCATTACAAAATATTATTTGACTCACTATTCAGCATCACTCAAACAAAACAGAATAAGCATAATTGAAGCGAAGAAATTGAATGTACGCGACATACAATGTGAGATAAAATCCGCCTAGCTGGATGGATAATATATATTTATATTATTAGGGCTGATTGGATAAACGTAGACAATAGATTCTGCGCAGAAAGCACACATCTCTTCTTATGCATGATTAGCTTGATATACCTAAATATACCTTCTTTGCTTGATATACCTAAATAGTCTTCAAGAACTGATGAAGCAAGCGAATTCATCGACCACAAGTAGTACTTCTCGCCTTTACTTGCAAAAGAGATCTATAGAGAATAAAGCGAAGCGTGTCAAGACATGTGGCATCTATTTCGGACAAAATACGACACTTTAAAGTCTGAGGCTCATCTAACTGTAAATTACGAGTACCTGGTGCTGACGTAGAGGCCCACAGGCTTGAGATAAAACAGATAAAGTGCATGTGGCAAATAATTACGGAAAACGTTGATCTACTTTTACTCTCAGCGATGAACTAAGTGACAGATGCTATCCATGTTGAAGCCAAGAAGCATCACCTCCAGATGGTCGGTTGCATTGAAAAGCAATGAAAAAAACCATGATGTAGAAAAAAAATACAGCACAGAATCCTCTAAGATGACTGCTACGATCCAACGCCAGAATCAATATTGAAAAAGAGAAGAATAACTTACGTGAGATATTGATTGATTATATACATATATATATGTGTAAAGAAAGAAAATGTGGAAGTTCTTTTTCACTTTATTGACTTTGGCCCTAGATCGTATTCTGGTACTCTGGCTGTACTCGTCCAGAGCTCAGCTCTGTTTCGCTGATCTTCGTTGCTTTGTCCTTGTCGAATCCACA